TCGGAGCATCCCTAATATCAGCAGTAATGTTGGCTAAACATTCAATTTTCTTTTTCTTTTTTTATCTGGTTCGAATCCAAAAACGTATTTTCCATTCAGATAGTATTCATTAGCACTGTGCTAAAATCGCTTATTAGCTTAGTATTTCACTCAAATGAATTTCACAATCTAATAAAAATGTATATGGACACAAAAATCATATTGTACCATTTATGGACATGAGATGCACCGATATCTGGGCTAATCGTATCGGCTGATATCAGAAACGGATTCACTATTGAGTTAATGAACCATTTATTTTGCTATGCGAGTGAAAACTTTAGCTTTGTCATAAATATTGTTTAAAAAAGGTAACAGATTAACACAGATATAAATTTACTTTATACTATTTAATACTATTTATACTATTTAATAAAAAATAAGCTCACTGAGTTGGATCTCTTAATATTAAATAGATGTCCAATTGAGTGAATTAGTAAATATCGAGCCGATACAGATTGGTCCTGGTGCTTTTAGTTCAGTGATTTAAATTTGATTGTGGATTCAACGTTCTTTTCAGCTTTTATTTCTAAAAATAACATTACCGTCTTGAGAGAATGAGAGCGGAGCGGCAGAAATAGGGTGAAGCACAGAGCAGTTTTCAATTCAAAGGCTGGAAGATTTCGCTCTGCTCCAGTTCGTTACAATGCGTTCACAACGGAGCCGGTTAAAAACCACAATACACATGTATCGGTCGCATCATTAAATCAAGCACCGTGTGTCTCAGGGTCCTGGCATAATTACATGAAGGAAAAATGTCAGAAAGGGCCGGATTTATCAAGATCCAATTTTTGCGTAAAGTAATTTGCGCTCGCAAACTGGAATTTTGCGCGAGGGGCTGAACCATGGTTTGCGGGTGATTTAACAAGAGTGATTGCGTAACTGGTGGCAGGTGCAAAACTGTTGGAGACGCCCTATTTAAATGATGGTTTTGCGCGTTTTGTGGTTTGCGGCAAAGTAGTTTGTAGTTTGTACAAACTAGTGCATTAAGAAATCTAAATCTTACAGTGATATATAAAGAAAAAACTTAGGCAACCTTTATTCCCTAAGGTGGTATGTGGCTGAATTTCTACTTCACTGCAGTAAAAAAACAACAACAACAAAAAAACAGGTGTTTTGTATTGGCCTGTAGAAAAATGCACATACCAAATGGCTCACAAGAAGTGACTGTGGATGAGATTACTGCGCGTACGCATCCCCGCAGCATTGGCATGTTGCTCCACAGGCGCAGGGGGAGAACCCCGACCCCGTCGGACAGCACTTCTGAAAAACGAGATTGGGAGATCCCAGCTCTCGCTGCAACCGTACGCTGGAATGACCCAGATGCAAAAAAGTGCAATGTTGCAAGGAGTTTTGTGATATCTGGTATTGCGTGGGTCCTCCTTGTGGCTGGCTCCAAATCCATTCGGAGTTCCCCCAACAGCTCCAAAATGGCAATGCTGGATAAACGATATGTTTTGATGATCGTTTCCTCCTTCATTGCAAAAATATTCATACGGAGTGAAAAAATGCGTTCTCTGCGTCTCCTTGCTTCATTTCCATGTCTCCTTCTTGCGACAATAACCGCTGCCATGTGTGCGCAATTACGCATACAGACCATTTGCACCTTCTTTTGAAACGTGTTAAATATAGAGTCAGATACCGTTAGCAAAATTGCTTTCAGGTTTGATAAATCACTTTGCGAGTGCTAAATTAATATATTTACATGTTCTCCTCCCACAAGACGCACTTTTGCGTGTAAACGCCCCATATTGCATATTCATTGCAGAAAAAGTACTAAATGGATAAGAGGCGCTATTTAGCACGTTTTAAAGACCAAATCCTTTTAGCACGCTGTTGATAGATCAGTTTGTACATTTTTTAGCGTGCGCAGTGAAATAGCTCACGTTTTTATACACGCAAACCTTTGATAGATCCGGCCCAAAATGCCTTCTCCTGAAAATATGAGGGGGCATGGAGCGATTTCCCCGGAGCGGCAGGAAAATGAATAATGAGCGCGGAGCGGATCTTGAGCGGAGCGTCCTAGCGTAACTTTGAGCGACGGGGTGAATGAGCGAACATCCTCCTGAGCGGGGAACGCTGCGTTCACATGCTCTGGTCTTGACTAACATTTATTTTAACCAAGTAGAACCATATTAATAAATGCTATAAAAAAACTGCATCATTAAACTCTGTATGACTTTGGCCTAACTGTTGTTATTTTTCTGCTCAGCTGTCTCCTGCCATCATAGGAGGGCTTCACAACATCGCGAGGACCATCGAGTCTCGTTCCTACACGGAGGGCCTCAACATCCACACCCACATCGTCAGCAACAGCAACTTCAGCGAGACGTCGGCCTTTATGCCCGTACTGAAGGTGGTGCTGACGCAGGCCAACAAGCTTGGCGTTTGAGGTCCGAGTGGCCCGAGGCGGAGCAGAGTCCATCATCCGCTTCTTCCGCCTTCATTTGACTTGAGCTGCAAATGACTTCTGAGTTTTTCAACAGTAATGCTCAGCTTTTCCTTTGTGCCATTCGTGTTTTTTACGATGCAACTCCAAACAAGCCATGCGGTCAGTCGCGCTCAGTGGTGAAAGTAACTACGGGGTCAAATAAAGGGCTTACAGAAACACCATGTCGACCTTTACGTTGGCTGGCAAACTCCAAAAAAAGGGGTTTGAGTCAAATGCAAAATGATGGTGAAATCGGGGGAAGTTGATTAATATGCAAAACTCTTTTTAAGGTAAAATCAAATCAAACGAATTGCTAAAAGAACATAAGGGATGTTTAAGGGCATGTCTGCGTTCCAAATCAGTGTTATGATCTCCCAAATTAAAGCTACTAATGATTCATGGATTTCTGCTGCATGCTTTAAGCTAAGATTCATGCAATAATACAGGTTTTAGATTTAGGAAAACTTAGCTTGTTAATTTTTATCTGTGCACTACATCAGCGCTTTGTTACTTTATGGTCCAGGATCTCATCCATGGTTAGATTTTAGCTGCAGGCTTACGTCGGTTTTGCTGCTTACAGACATCTTGCTTTTTTTTTATTCAATCTGCAGCTATTAAAAACTGGGCATTATATAATCGTTGCCAGTTGCTGTTTAAATACGTTTGTGTTGTCAGCTCACTTACTTTCACCACTGGTGTCACTGCAGTCAACACATTGGACCAGCCTGTTGTCAGTCTGCAGCAGTGGAGTCCCTGGTGTTGAGAATTTTCAGGTTTTATTTCATTTTGTTTGATTTCGTTTTTTGTTTGTCCTTTTTTTTTTTTTAGCTGTGTAATCATGATGCTCAGCCATGTGCAATGAACTTTACAGAAACAAGCTTTTTATGGTATTTCAACCAAACGCATGCTCTCACACATGCTCGACTGTCTTTAAAGAGTCGGAGGTAATTATGTGCTAATTAATCGGACCTCAGAGGGAAACTGGAAGGAGGCTTGTACTTGATATTCATTCCAGCAATGATGAGGGCCGCAGCCTGAGTGGTCGACCTCACTTTCTGTTCTGTTCTAGAAGAAAACAAGTCTTTGTTGTTTTTTGACTGACTACAGGCAATATTTTCAATAAATAGTATTTATTTACAGAATATCTTGTATGTTTTTCTTTTTTGTATTAGTAATTGAACTACACTGGATTTTAATTTTAAGAAATAACTGATATAAAATTAAATGAAAACAAAGCTGAAACAGAGCAACTCTTTTTAAGGGGGAATTTTCACAGCTCATTTGTTGCACTAATACACTTTAGCTAAGATTAATTATACTGAGAAGATTAATATTAATGTATTTACTTTGAAAAACTTATCCAGTGTAAATAATAACTTTTCATAGTTTCCCTGCAAAAGTCCAGAATAGAATCTCTGTTAAAGATTAGGGTGATGGAAAGGAGTCCTTTGAACCTCCACAGAGATGCAAAGAAAAAAAATCCATTATACCAAATAAAGATCTCTAGGTAAAAGTTTACTTTAAAAAATAAATGAATAAACAATTTTTTTTTTTTTTTTTTTTTAGGAGCAGGGTGACAAATGCTCCTTTTAAGCAATTTATCTATACAGAAAAACCTTAACGTTTATTAAAATACTTCAGTTACAATTTAATATTCAGATTGAATTATAGCCATTCTCATCTTATTGTCATTAAAATGTATAAATGAATGAAAATTTAATTCTTTGGGCCAACATAAAAAATAATCTGTCTTTTAATAAAGTTATAAAGAAACCAAATAGGAATATATCTTTCAAAATACGAAACCTATTTTCTCTTCATGTGTGCATAGATATATCTAATTTTGTTGTTCTAAATAAGCTCTTATTATTTTGAGAAGATGATGTTTAATGTAAAGTTTAAAGTTAATGTATATTTAACTTTTTTGGAAGGATAATTTTCCCTCAAAATTACATTGAAAATGTAAATGATGCTCTTCAGTCCATCTTTATTGCCTTTTTAAAGCTTGCATCAATTTTTTTATTTTTTATTTTTGGAGGGGTGGGATTGATATTGCACCCACCCCCCGGTGGGTGCAATATCAATGTCTTTCACGGGGCCCCAAATTCCAGGTGGCTCCCCTGCCCACTACAGATATTTAGTCATTAACATCCTTATTCACATGTTCAATTTTCCTATTGTATGATCACACTTACGGATTGCATCTAAGAATATCAAACATATTTTCAATTTAAATTATATCTATGAAATAATACATTACAGCAAACAATGGATTCAATCATATTATAGGTCATTAAATCAGGATCAGTTTAGCCTGTCAGAGAAGCTGCCTGTAGTGGTTTTAAACCCAGCAGATGTCGATATTATGTGACAGTTTCGACACAGTATCGATACAATGTTGAAACGCCTCATAAACCCATTACTCAGTCAGACCTTTTCCCTTTATAATAAACTGAACAATAAAAAGAGGGGCAAGGCTGGACCATAAAAGTTGGGGGGTGTTTTGCCCTTTGTCCGTTTTTCTCCTGGTTTCAAAATCAAGCTTTTACTTGGAAATCCCTGATAGGTTTCATTTTTCAGCAGGAGGAGTTAATGTTTGGCATTAAGGGTAGTCATCCTCCTTTAGATCAAGCAGAACTGGTTACCTGAGCAGGAAAGGTAAGATCTGACAGATTCACTCACATTTATTGTTATTTCTATGAATTCAGAGTAGGGCTGAAACAATGGGATTAATCGTGGTTAATCGATTATTTCAATAATCGCCATCTAATTTAGTAATCGATTAATCGTTAACTGGAGTGTAGAGACTGTAAAATATGCCTTTAGCTGACTAAGAGCAGCAATTATACCAAAAACAATAAAACAATATATAAAAATGTTACATTTAAAATAAAAAAAAGTGTTTTTATCTGTGAATATGCTCTTTCCAGAACTCCTCAAGTGGAAAAGTTTCAGTTTCTCCTGGTTTCATTTTGTAAAAAGTCTTCTTTAAGGAACCTTTTGCTTTCCGATTATTAATAGATTAATCTGGGGAAAAAAAATCAAAGATCAATGGATTTTCAAAATAATCGTTAGTTGAAATAATTCAGAGCTAATGAGGTTTGTTTTTATTTTCGCTGCCGTAAACCACCTGAATACAGGGGCGCTGATCTCTATTTACTGATCACTGTGATGTTATTCTGTCTGACATAGTCTATGTCAGACAGAATAACATAGTTTGGGTTCTTTATTGGCCTTTAATACCCAATAGCTGTCTATGTCTCTGAAATCGGAATTGTTGGCCTGCCTCAATAAGCGAGATGTTTCGTTCCCCTGTACGGGTGTGGGGGTTGCAATGATAGTGGGAAGGAATAGACTATTGCTGCATTGTAGGTTTTTGAAAACTGAAACCTGAGTCTATCCCCTCTGTTTAAGGTTGTTTTTTTATTTCTTAAGATAGATGGCTTCCTTCACACCCCTCACAAACCACCTGTCTTCTTTGTCCAAAATGTGAACTTCTGGTCCTCAAAAGAATTGCTCTATTACGCATTGTACGCAAATGCAAAACAGAGAATTATTCACTCATTGAATATTAGCAGCAGTGTACCGACCAGCAAAAACACGTTTATTTTATCTTTTAAAAATGAAAATCAGCTTCCTATTATAGTGTTATGTCTTGGATGCAGAGACACATTATTAGTTTCCCTGAATGTTGAGAGAAGAAGCTTCTATAGCTAAAAACATGTGAGTCTATATTAATTTAAAATAAGACACGTAGTAGTAAAAAACGTGTGGGAATTTAAATTTGGTTAGATTTAGTTTTATTGTTTAAAATCATAGAAAACATTGGCTGTGGTTCAGATAATGACTCAACTGGAATGGAGATAATTTTGTTGGAATCAAAGAGAACATTTTATAAATGGAAAAAAAAAGAGATTGTATATGAAATTTAAAAACACAAAAATAAAAATAAAAATAGCAATCTGGAATTGAAACTTATGTTGATATATATATATATATATATATATATATATATATATATATATATATATATATATATATATATATATATATATATATATATATATATATATATATATATATATATGTGTGTGTGTGTGTGTGTGTGTGTGTGTGTGTGTGTGTGTGTGTGTGTATAGCAACATAAAATAATAACATTTGAAAAAATACAGTAATGAAATACATTTAAAGAACGTTAAAAAAAGATATGCTGAGAAAACAGAAAAGTAACATTATCTTCATTTAACTTTTTTAAAGTTTCATTTATTGATTTTGTGTTTCAAAATTTTAATTTACAAAAAATATATAGGCCTATATGTTTTTAATAATCATTTAATAAAAGTTTTATTCGTGTTTAGAAATGATGGAACAAAATTCACATATATCAGAGCTCTGATGTTCTGGAATCTTCTTTTCATGACTGACCAAAGATATTGTTGATTCCTAAACTTTGGGAAGCATTTTCCTTCATCACAGTTTTGGTTTAACTGTTAAAAACTAAACATCCATTAAACAGCTTTAAAAATATAAAAGATAAAGTCTGGATAATTCTTATTTCTTTGCCTAATAAAGCCTTTTTTATGAAAACAGTAACACATAGAAGGGAGGTAAGAAAAAAAATCAATCCATGGGGAACAGGAGTATTTTATTGCTGCTGCTTGTGGTTTTGCTTTGGCACAGTGTTGTATAAAGTACTGAAATGTCGGAGTCAAGTAAAAGTATAAGTACCTCTCCAAAATATGACTTTGGTAAAAGTCCAAGTCACCGACTGAAATGTTACTTGAGTAAAAGTCTTAAAGTATCTAAAATGGCTTGTACTTACGTATAAGAATTACTGTAAAAATAGATGTACTCAAGTAATGTAGTGAAAAGTAAGTGCAGTTTGAATGACATTTTTTTACACTTTGAAGGCGTATCCTATTGGTGTTGATGAACAAGCCGAGGCCAGACCCGACTTTGTAGTCAGTAGGTGGGGTCAAAACACTTGCGTTTCTCTCGCTCTCTTGCTCGTTTTTTTTTTTTTTTTTTTTTTACTTAGTAACTAAACCAAACATTGAAAATGTATCGGAGTAAATTTATGCAATTAAGTTAGTAAATGTAGTGACGTAAAAGTGAAAGTTCTCAAAAAAAATTTATACTCTTGGAAAGTATAAAGTACTCCAAAATATGCTTAAGTACAGTATTGAAGTATTTTTACTTCGTTACTATACCACACTGCTTTGGCAGCTACTTCTATGCTGGAACTGACAGTAAAAGGTTAACTAATCCTCTAATATCTGGTTCATGTTTTAAAATTTTGTTTTTGGTAGGCTGCCTGTTATGACCATCTGCTGCTGAGAGCCTATTTAACTTTCCTAACATGGATTTTTGGGGGATTGTTTGCCTGTTTGTGTATCTGTTTAAACAGCTGGTTAATCCACACCTTTTCCTGCCGGCGTCGTCCAGCTGCTGAAGGCCTTCCTAACAGATCAAACAGTTTATGCTTTAAAAGTAACAAAAATCTCAGTGCTTATATGTTTTGTAATACAGGTTTTTTCTGACGTCATAAGCACCAAAATGTGGAGCTGCAGACCGTTGGTCCTTCTGCCTCTTATCTTCTCAGTGTTTACTGCTGCTGGGCTTTGGATTGTGTAAGTTCAACCTATTTTCTACTTCTATCCATCAACCAATTAGATAAAAAGTAAACAGTAAATACAGTAGAAGAGACACCTAATAGAAAGAACTGTGACTGTCAGGTCTGGTGGAAGTTAGTTGTGGAACGAAGTGCAGAGATGAATTTTGCAAGAGCTGCAAATTCCAGGAACTACAAATACAGGAAACCAAAAACCAGGAGAAGCCAGGGGAAAACACACAAGAGGAGTTAAGTAACGACAAAGAGTAACCAGAACCGAGGAACTGCACAGCTACAGTATACAGGTCCTTCACAAAATATTAGCATATTGTGATACAGTTAATTATTTTCCATAATATAATGATAAAAATTGAACATTGATATATTTTTAGATTCGTTGCACAGTAACTGAAATATTGAAGGTCTTTTATTGTCTTAATATGGCTGATTTTGGCATACATCTCACAAAATTAGCATATCATGAAAAAGGTCTCTATGCACCTAATCATCTGAATCAACAAATTAAACACCTGCAAAAGATTCCTGAGGCTTTTAAAACTCGCAGCCTGGTTCATCACTCAAAACCCCAATCATGGGTAAGACTGCCGACCTGACTGCTGTCCAGAAGGACGTCACTGACACCCTCAAGCAAGAGGCTATGGCACAGAAAGATATTTCTGAACCAATAGGCTGTTCCCTGAGTGCTGTATCAAGGCACCTCAGTGGGAAGGAAAAAGCGTGGCAGAAAACGCTGCACAACGAGAAGAGGTGACCGGACCCTGAGGAAGATTGTGGAGAAAGGCCGATTCCAGACCTTGGGGGACCTGAGGAAGCAGTGGACTGAGTCTGGAGTAGAAACATCCAGAAACATCTAGCAGGAAATGGGCTACAGGTGCCACATGGTCAAGCCACTTTAGAACCAGAAACAGCGGCAGAGGCGCCTGACCTGGGCTACAGAGAAGCAGCACTGGACTGTTACTCAGTTTTTCATTTCATTTGGAACTCAAGGTGTCAGAGTCTGGAGGAAGACTGGGGAGAAGGAAATGCCAAAATGCCAGAAGTCCAGTGTCATCTACCCACAGTCAGTGATGGTCTGGGGCGCCATGTCAGCTGCTGGTGTTGATCCACTGTGTTTTATCAAGGGCAGAGTCAATGCAGCTATCAGGAGATTTTGAAGCACTTCATGCTTCCATCTGCTGAGAAGCTTTATGGTGATGAAGATTTCCTTTTTCAGCACGACCTGGCACCTGCTCACAGTGCCAAACCCCACTGATAAATGGTTTACTGACCATGGTATCACTGTGCTCAATTGGCCCGCAAACTCTCCCGACCTGAACCCCATAGAGAATATTTGGGATATTGTGAAGAGAAAGTTCAGAGACACAAGACCCAACACTGTGGATGAGCTAAAGGCTAAACGCTATGGAAGCATCCTGGGCCTCCATAACACCTCAGCAGCCCCACAGGCTGATTGCCTCCATGCCACGCCGCATTGAAGCAGTCATTTCTGCAAAACGATTCCCAACCAAGTATTGAGTGCATAACTGTACATAATCATTTGAAGGTTGACTTTTTTTGTATTAAGAACACTTTTCTTTCATTGGTCGGATGAAATATGCTAATTTTATTAGATAGGAATTTTGGGTTTTCATGAGCTCTATGCTAAAATAATCCGTATTAAGACAATAAAAGACCTGAAATATTTCAGTTAGAGTGCAATGAATCTAAAATATATGAATGGGCAAGTTTTATCATTACATTATGGAAAATAATGAACTTTATCACGATATGCTAATATTTTGAGACAGGGAGACAGAATAAAGACTGGGGTAATCAGCTGACGGGGAGCAGGTGTGGATAGAAGCAACTAGAAGACAGGGTGGAAAAGAGACTGACACAAGAGGGCAGCAGAGAGCAGCACAAAAACCACAACACTGCTTAAAAAGAACTTAAAAACAACTAGTGAGACAAAATTCGAAAGGCAACAATTACCAAGGAAATAGAATGACATATAGCACCTTTATGTCTTGAACTTTATGTCAAAAAGTTCACAAAGGGCAGGATCACAACAAGAACCTTTTAATAATTTCTAAAAAAAATAACATGTGCATCATAAAACTGTAAACGACACAAAAGATAAAGGATAGAAAGTACAGGAGAAGCAGTCTCAAGGACGAGGTTATTTATGTGTCTGTTTAATGAGGCCATTAAGGCTGTCTGGATTAGCACAGCAGTACAGAGCTAAGCTCCTTCACTACCCTGGATAGAGTTCTTTTTGTTGACCCCACCGAAGGTGAAGGAAAAAGCACTAGGAGCAGGAGGCATAGGCTATAATTTGAAGTATTTGGATTGAGCCCCAGTCAGAGAATTTATTCTGATAGAGAATCCTGTAGGCTGTCGCTAAAGATGAGGGTAATGTCATGGAGGCCTTTCAGCCACAAACACATGCAGCTCATCACTGATAAATCATTCAAAAAACAAGTGGCACATGCAATTTCCACAATTTCCCTATTTTGGGTTAAAACATTGGTTTTCTTTTCTATTCTTGACTCTGACTTGGAATCAAACATAGATAGACAGAGCTAAGCTCTCTTATTGCACCCATCTGTTTTTGCTTCTGCAGGTATTTTGTAGCTCTCCACAATAAGAAAGTGTTACCTCTGAGCTCAACGTACAGGTATGTGTTATACTCAAACATGTACAACAAATATGTACCCACCAGGAGTAAATAACATCTTGTTTTCATCTATTCTAGATATGGAAATACATCTGAATATCCTCCTTTCATAAGGTAAACATTGTCCTCATTCTCTCATTTATAAAACCAGAGCTGTTATACATCGACTTTGCTTTTTTCAGCCTCGCAGGCAATTTTCCACCCGCCAGCTGCCTCTTCAGTCAGGTCATGAACATGGCAGCGTTTGCAGGTAAAGACATTGATGATGGGCTTTAGAATCAAAGTTTAGAATCGAAAGAGTGCTTTATGAAAGAATTTCATACCACAAACTTGTGGAGGGTTTTAGGTGAACAAAGTAGAGCAGAATAATGAAAAAGGAAGCAAATTATATGGGATTTTTTTCAATAAAAATTAAGTTCAGCACTAATTACTACTTGTTCGATAAAATCTGGTGCAAACCAGCTGCATTCACAAGTCAAATAATTAGAGAACAAACATTCTGTGAAAGGTTCCAGAGGTTTATCAGAGACCAAAGAGTCCTAATGTAACCTTGGAGGAGCTGCAGACTTTTATAGCTCAGGTATCAGAATCTGTTAGCAACACATTTTTTTATTTAGATAAAATTAGTAGGAGTTATTTATGTAATAGACCAGATGCAACAGAAAATCTTGTTTATTGATTGATGTTGGCAACTCTGCTCTACATTGTTTAATATTAATTATTTTAACATAATTTGTTAATAGTTTATAGCCGTTTATCTGCGATGGAGAAGATTCAGATTTTCTTGCTAAAAATATTTTTTTGAACAAAACATGTTTATAAATGTAGGTTTGGAGAAAAACTTAATTGGTTCTCTTTTTAACAGATGAAGGTTTTCAATTGATTTTTCCCTCTGCTATTTTACTTCAGTGATCAACGGACGCCTTCTATTCATTTTGATATATCATAGTTTTATATTTCGGACCGTAAAGCTTTTAGAGGATGAGTAACCAGATAAGGATTGACTGATGTTTAATGTTTAATAGAAGCCTGCTGTGGCCTTCCCAGTTCTACTGGTTCTCTACTGTTTCAGGGTTCATCATAGCCGTCTTCAGGTACCTTCAGCTGAAGACCAAATTAGACAAGCAGTGGCTGAACATCACCAGTGTTCTGTCTTTCTCACTCGCCTGTTTCGGAATGACATTGGTGGGAAACTTCCAGGTAACCGCTGATCATTAGGTGAAAGCCCCCCCCCTGTCTGAACCATGGCGCACTGACCTGCTGTTGTTTTTTTTCTGTGCTTTGTTTTGTTTTATTTGCAGGTACTGGAGATGCCGTTCCTTCACGATATTGGCACTTTGCTGACGTTTGGACTGGGCACCTTGTACTGCTGGATTCAGTCTTACATCACGCTGAGAGTTAACCTGAAGAACGAGGGAAGGAAACTGGCTATCTGTCGTTTCCTGCTGTCTGCAGCCATCACTCTCTGCATTATACTAGAGTACTGTATCCTTTCACACAGAGCACTTGCTTATAGATAAAATTCAGCTCAAATACAATAAAAAAGGATGAAAGACATATATATATATTTAGTTTAGCAAAATTAACCTTTTTGATATATTGCACATGTAATAAGGGACAAATTAACATGAATCTACATCTAATGTTCATTGGAATCTGAATGAGATTCCTGAAGCAATCCTATTAGCAACTTATAATTTTGAAAAACCAGGAAAGAAAAGGAAAAGGATAGAAACTATTGTGGTGTGATTTTGATTTCCACCTACCCAGGACAACACTTGTTTTTTTTCTCTTTTTTTAACAACGTTTAGTCAGATGCAAATACAACAAAATATAGTTTAAAAAAAACACACACAAAAAAAATACTTCTGTGCATTCATAGCTAAAATTCAGCCTAATATAATATTTAGATGTACAGAGCCATGGGCAGTTCTAGACAGGGGCCAACGGGGGCCAGTGCCCCTGTAGATCACGTCCTGGCCCCTGTTATGGCCCCTGTACTGAAGACATAATACTCAAAGAAATTCTAATGATGATATGTGTTGGAACAGACATGGTTACTGCTCCTTTGGATCTATTTAAATGTTTTTTCTGTACAAATTCAGTTTTATTAATTATTTAAAAACAATAAGGAGATAGCTTTAGTGGTGTTGAGATAGAATCCCAGTTTTCATCTACTAAATGTAAAAAAAAAAAAAAAAACTCATACAAATTTATACAAAATAGTCATTTTAACTTAAATTAAGTCAAAAATATGTAAATTATGACTGCTTATTGACCTAAAAAGATATAGAATTTTAATTAAACCTAATTGAATATAAATTTCACATCATCCAGCAATCTTAATATATTTGAATCCCTTGCCCTGTTTTTTATTTCATGCTTTTCTGGGCCCCCATGAAAACACACTGGCCCCCTCCTGGCCCCCTGGTACATTTGGTCTAGAACCGCCACTGTACAAAGCTGACGATGTGGTGTCACGATTAAAAAAAACAATTAGCATATCAACTGAACACAGCCCAAACTCATGTCAAGTCAAAGTGTTTAATGACAGCAGCAAACCAATCTATAAAAGATTCAGTTTCAAATAGGTTATTGTGTCAGGGAGAGTCTTGATCCAAGGACTTTCCTTAAATTTCAATGCCACCATAAAAAACGTAACTTTCTTTTTGTTCCAATCCACCCCACGGCATCAGACCCAAGATATAACATTATGGATCAAATGGCAATTTTAACATAGTCTGACATTTTTTCTTTGAAACCCTTGTCAGAGGATTTTATTTTACCATTCTTTATTGTTTACAAAATAGCTGAATCAGATTCGACAAATAGTCTCTGTATACATAAACTGATATAAGTACAAATATCTTGGAATAAGAGCGTTTGCTTCACATTTGAGGAGGAAACAATGATCTGTCAATAAAATATGTATTTTGGTTCCTAAAATGAGATAATCCTACATGCAGCACTTCAAATAGGATAATTTAGAGATTTCCCCCTCTTATTTTAACCCAAAAAGTCATACCCCATCGGTTTACTTGTCTTTTCAAATCAAGAACTACACTTATTTCCAGAATATTTGTACTTACCTCTGATTCTCAAATGCATTTAGGCATGAACTTTGACTGGACCATTCTAACTCACTACATCCTCTAAAGTCCATCTGGTTGGTAAACCTGTGCCTTAGGCCTTCTGCTGACGCTAGCGGTTTTTAATCGCTATTATTGCTTCTTCCAACTAATATCGGCTCTGATTAGCTTCCCTGTCGGTTCTGAAGGAAAGCAGCTCCACAGCATGATGCTGCCACCACTGTAGGGTTCAGTGTTTGTTTTCCCTCACAACTATTTTTATAAAGGCATTCCAAAGCATTTTTCTGTAACCTGCAAAACTATGAGAAAATGTCACCAATGTGTTACAGGCATATTTTTTGCAAACATTTAAACTTCCAAAGATAAAAAAAAAGGAAGACTTTTTTTAAAAATTATTATTACATAAGCATTGTTTTATATTTCCTTTTTATCCTTAACTCTCCTGATACAGCCCTGATCATTATCCCACATATGCACTCAGTCCGATGCCAGTGGGCCCTGGTCATGTTGTTCCTCATCTTCATCGGCACTTTTTCCATCGACTTCCATCACTACCGCTTCAGGATGATGTGCAGAGACACCGTGGAGTTTCAGAATCAGCGGGAAGCTTACTATTTGTCCTAGAGAAAAATTGAGAAAGATTATTTTTAGCTGCAACCATCTGAAAATGTGATATGAGGGAGAAGAATACTTCATGGGTTTTATGTACTCAATCCCAACCTGAAGAAAATGGTCAAAGGTTAGAATAAATGGATCTATGATATTGGATGTTAAAAGTGAATTTCTCCATTGTGAAATCAATAAAGTTTACTGTTTTCAGACTATATGTGTGAAACTAAATAGGTTGAAGATTTTCTTGATCTGAGCGCACACCCTGAGGATGAAGGACCCAGATATTGTTGGTTCTGCAGCGAATCTCTTGAAAATTGATTAAAACGGATTTAAATTGTTTTTGTTCTTCAAGAGATAGTATATTATTGTGGGAAAGGACCAAAATACAGCCTTTTCAGGTAATATTAACAGACTTTCCTGTGCAGAGGAACACACATCCTTAGATCCTAAATTCCCAAGGACCTTTAACCATCAATGGAAAACAACTTATTATTCATCTTTTGTATCCAACCTATATTTAATTATAAACTATATTTTTTAGTTTATAAACCTAAATATAATTGTTAACTAGGCTTATTAACTTTTTTAATGTTTCAATTAGATTTTTACCTTTTTTTTTCTTGACTTGTTAACTTTTTTTTTTCCAACTTAATTTACAGCTGGTAATGTATCATTCAAGGGCTCATCTAATTGGTCAAATCCCAAAATAAGATGTAGAGCCATGTAGCGGTATCTTTGCTGAATGGCTGGATATAGATCTTGTGCATTGTTTTTTTTTGGGGGGGGCTCCATTTGTAAGGGGTATGACAGTGATCCAAAATGCTAACTCACCCTATAAAGCAGGGGTCATCAAGGTTTTCCAGGCCAAGGACCCCCAAACTGATGGCCAGATCGAGCGGGGACCCCCTATTTATATATATTGCATGAAATTGTGTAATATCAAACTGCTCCAATAGTCACTCTATTACAGATGGAGTAATGTAATGAAAGTAATTTCTCCCTGGGATTATTAAAGTATTTCTGACTCTGATTCCTCATTGATGGGACAGGTGTTGTGAATGAAACAGTGCCCAGCTTGAAAGAGCTCCTGTGTGCATTGATGACTTAAAGACATCTTCTGCCTCCATTTATCTGTGTATTACAGTGTGTTGAATTCATGTTAATGTGCATTTAAAGACATTTCAATTAATGGAAAAAAAAAATTCCTGGGGGGAATATAAAAAAAACGTCTAATCAACCAAAACTTTTGCGACCCCCATGCAGTACCTCTGAGGACCCCCTAGGGGTCGCGGATCCCCTGTTGAAGACCTCCGCTATAAAGGGTTAATTGAAACCCATCCATCATTCAATACATGAAATCAGCTCAGTTCACAAAGTACTAAAAACAAACTTTCATTTATTTATTTTTTTATTGACTGGCAGCAAATCTGACTTAAAGAGTGGTATAAAATATTTTTGTATTTTCTATCAAATAATGTTGTAAATATTCACAAATTGAATCCTTAAAGATAATAATTGTTAAGTTTTAATAATGTTGGACTTCTAAATATGATGAATAAAAATGGATTCAGTGGTTCTACTTTCATCAGATGCTGAATAAGACATTTACAGAGTGGAGAATTTATTTCTTTTTTTAAGTTTTTTAAGTGTTTCGGTGAATATTTTATCAAATGGAAATTTCTATCATAGTCAAGTTTAGACTGATTGAAATATTTCTAAAAAATATATCAAAATAAAAAAAAAGGATCCATTTAAGGGGATGCTTTACCTCCTTTGCTGATTATTAAAGCTATTTAACCATTAGAAATAACCATAAGAACTCACTAGAATGAAACATGCATAACAGTTTGGCATAATAACAACGTTATGCATTATTTACAGCTGATGCATTGTTAGTTTTTAAAAACATAGAAAAGTCCAAAGCCAAATTATTAGAAATTATCAAGTCATTTGGTAAAATCTCAGGGACTAGATTAAACAAATATAAAAGATTTAGAAACCAAGTTGGCAACCAAATTTTAAGTTTTAAATCATTTTCCAGCCATGGGATTTATAATCAACAGATATTTTAACACATAAAAACAAAACAAAAATAAAAAAGATTGCAAGAAACTGTATTGTGAAAATGGTAATTGCTGTTTGCTACAAAGTAAAATCAATATTCAAAACCAACATCCTCAGTTTTGGTTTTTTGCCTAATATCAAGCTTTTACTTTGAATAAATCCATTCAGACATGAGCCACTAATCTCTGTTTATCCACTGGATTGCTGATAGGCTGTTGGCAGAACACGGTGAGGTGAAGTCATCGGCCGCCATATTGATGCTCCCTAGTTAGACCGGTAGGAATGTAAACAATACAGCATCGAACAACGATGATGTTCTCATTTTCAGCAGGGATTTAGACTTTTGAAATAAAAACAAAATCCTTACTTTGACACATGCTGTTTCATGGAATCAGTAGATTAATGTAATTTATGGTAAAAAAAAAAAGGCACATCACATTGAATATTCAGTATGAAGTCCTTTAAGTATATAAATAATGTAATATAACATATTAAACAAATCAATCACAACAATATTTGTGTGTTAATGGAGCATAATAATACTGTAATCAGATATTAAGAATATTACTCCAGAGGCTTAGCCAGAACATTTTTATAAGGGTGGCCAGGCAATAACCAATGTTTACTGTGGGGTGGCCAAAAGTGGATAGGCACCAGAACCTCAGGGTCAATCTACACTGTTCCAACAGGAATAACCACAAAGTACATATTTCTAAATAAAGACAAATTTTCCTACAGCCTTTCCAACATCCGTCTAGAAAAAAGGTATATAGTATAAAATTCTTTGAGGTTTGAGTTCTGGAGCGAACATCTTTTCAATCGTCATTACTTACCTACTTTTATCAATATCATTCTACGTTAAATTGATATTTACAGGACTAATATCTACATAAATTAATACTTTAATATGGTTTTATTAAAATAGGTATTTACAGTATCTATAATTTCACTGAAGACTCTTAGATGACTTGCAGAGACACACCATCTTCTCTTTACGGCATATAACGCAAAATCTAGCTCTGAAAGAGCTTGAATTCTGTACTTATCATCCCTGATGTTGGTATATTGATGTGCAGAATTGACCACAGTGTTTTTGCTGTCAAATAATTGTGTATATATATAAAATTTAAATGTTTTGAATATTCTAGTTGAGAGAAAAAAATGGTAGGGGTGGCCCCAGATTGGCTAAGGGTGGCCATGGCCACCCCTGCCCCCCATCTGCCTTCGCCCCTGTATTACTCATATATATTATATATATATATATATATATATATATATATATATATATATATATATATATATATATATATATATATATATATATATATATATATATATATATATATATATATATATATATATATATATATATACACACACACACACACACACTATCTGGTGCCTGTATTACTCACACACACACTATCTGGTGATGTGCTAAAAGTGCTTAATTGATGTTCATGTAACATAGATGTATTGATAACTTTGTCGTGGAAATTCAGTTACATTACAGGCATTTTATGGCACGAATCCGTAAAGGTGGGGAGTACCAATATGGCGGCTGATGACTTCATTTGTTTCTATCAGCAACCCAGTGAATACAAGCAGATCAGTGGCGGGAGCAGGTAAAACTTGTTAGCTTTCGTTTTTCAGCAGGAGGAGTTCATGTTTGGCATTAGGGATAGTCAACCTTCTTTAGATCGAGCAGAGCTGGTTACCTGAGCGGGTAAGAACTGACAGATTCACCAACTTTTAAGATTATTTCTATGTATTTAGAGCTAGTAAAAAGGGTTTTATTCCTCTGCCGTAAAGCAGGTGGATACAGGGGCGCTGTAATGTCGCAACATCGCTGTGACTTTATCTATTTAATTCTCGCTCTAAGGCAAATATCGCCGTTTGCAAGGTCCTTTGTGAAGGTGCATAGTTCAAAAAATTTATCAAATGAAGAATTATCATGGAGATTGGAAATGATTGAAGATAATAGAGAAATTTTAAATAGAAAAGAGATTGATGGAAGTATTTTAGATAAAGAATTTACATTGTTTGAAATGAATAGAGCATTGATAGGAGTTAAAAATACATCTCCAGGTAAAGATGGTATATGTTATAGGATGATTGAACATTTATCAGATGATGCTAAAGGAATAATTTTAAAGTTATACAATAAAGTATGGAAACAAGGTGAATTGCCCTTAAGCTGGAAGCATTCAATCATTGTACCAATATTAAAGCCAGGTAAGGATAAAGGAGAGGTTAAAAGTTATAGGCCTATAGCTCTTACTTCTAATTTATGTAAATTGATGGAGAGAATGATAACTAGGAGATTAATGTATGAAATAGAAAAAAGAGATCTTTTATCCCCTTATCAGAGTGGTTTTAGAAGTGGACGGACAACAGTAGATCCAATTGCTTGTTTAGAAAATGAAATAAGAAAGGCTCAGGTAAATAAAGAAATTCTCTTGGCTACATTTTTTGATATTGAAAAAGCATATGATATGCTTTGGAAGGAGGGTTTATTAATTAAGATGAATAAAATGGGAATCAAAGGAAAAATGTTTAATTGGATTAAGGATTTTTTAAAGAATAGAAAAATAGAAGTAAGAGTTGGGGTAAATTATTCAAACATTTATGATATACAAAATGGAACTCCACAAGGTAGTGTATGTAGTCCAGTGCTTTTTAATATAATGATTAATGATATTTTTGATAATATAGATTTTAGAATTAATAAAGCATTATATGCAGATGATGGGGCATTATGGGTGAGAGGAGGAAATCTTAGTTATTTAAAAAATAGAATGCAATCAGCAATTAAAACGGTAGAAAGATGGTCACACGAATGGGGGTTTCGTTTGTCTGTTGAGAAGACACAAGTATTATGTTTTTCAAGGAAAAGGGATAATCCAACAGTAGATCTTAGATTATATGGGCATGAATTGAAACAGGTAAATATGATAAGGTACCTTGGTGTATGGTTTGATGAAAAACTTTCATTTAAGATACATATGCAGAAGATTATTGATAAATGTAAAAAAGGTATTAATATATTGAAATGTTTGTCAGGGAATGACTGGGGGGCAACTAGCTCATCCTTGAAAAGAATATATGATGTTTTAATTCGATCTGTGTTGGACTATGGATGT